TCCATCTTTCAGGTTTGAGATGTAACGATGTCACACATGTGGATGTGGGTACGAGATCCGGCTGCCATAGTAACGTGCCAGAGATCAAGGCTGTTTTTTTAACTTTTTCATTTATTTACTTATTATTTTACTCGTTTCGGTCGTTTGACTCGTTTCGGTGGTTTCGTTTTCGCTCGTTTCGGTGGTTTCGTTCAGTTTCGGTGGTTTCGTTTCGTTGTTTCGGGTTTTAGTACATGCCGCTTCAAGTACACCACCAAGATAAAGCAGCTGCTTATTTTCCTTTCTGTTTAGTCACTTAACGTTCATTATCCTGAGGCAGAAAAACGGCGACCTTAGCAGGAAAATGAATGAAGAAGAGTTGAATAATCTCTTAAACGTTTTTACCATCAATAACGTTCAGATACGTCGTGACAGAGAGCAGGAAGCTTTGAATTCTTGGAATCCGATAGTGGAAGCCATTCTTGTTTACGTGGGGCAGAGACACGATTATTTCGCTACTCTTCGAGTCCTTCATTCTGGAAGCTACTATGAGAGAACAAAAGTAGGAGAACCTGATGAATTTGATCTGATGCTGGTGATGGAAAGTGCGGTATTTTGCGAATTGAAACTTCCTGGCTTAAGCAAACCGCCGATAGGTAGGCCGACGTGTTTCTCGCGTTGCATAGCGTAAATTGCGTTAACGTTTTATTTTTCGCATAGATTACGGGAACAATGCACAGTGTTGCAGGCTCGAGAGTCTTATATCTTTTATAGGAAAGAAGATTTGGGAAGATTTGCGAGCAGTTGTTATGTTAGTGAGGCGAAAAATAATAGGATAGCCACTCAATTTCATGTCGTCTATCATTGTAGGCGTCAATTATATTCGGGTCACCCAGCTACAAATATCACAGTATTCCATCCTACTTAGTGGTCACCGTTGCAAAATTAATAGAATTTAGAGAACCAAACTGAGTACTTCTTTTTATCATCAGATCGCCTGAAAACTATACAATTTCTTTTGTCTTCAATTTTTCAGGATTTGCTAAAGGGGTAATGATGAATGGGAGCGGGAGAATGCTGTTTAATACTTGCACTGCAACACAGGTCAAAGACATTTTTACAACGCTTGTCAGGGAAGCAATCACGGATCTAGGATATGAAAGGTACTTGTGGAATTAATTTTGTGTATTTTTAAGCCTAAAAAATTAAGAATAATTTTTAGTTGCAAGAGCAGCGTGTTTCAGACGAAGCGGACGCGTAACACAAGAAATTAAACGTGCCGTCAGTTATGTATGTTTCAAACTACCCACATAAACGTTAACAAAGCAGACTATGTGAACAAAAAAGGTCCTAGACTCGTTGGTTAACTGTATGGCGAAAGTATCATGGTCGCATTTACAATACAACTTATTACCCTACATGCTACAGTATATCATTTGACTCTGCTGCTAGAGCTTGCTAGACAAATACAGCTTATAAGTCATAGTTTCAAGAAAAATTTCAGTCAAGTTCGAAATAAAATTACAGAAAACTCTTCAAGTCAACGTGCAGTCGTTCATTCAGGCTGTTCCATCCGCACGAACCGCGCTTGAGAACAGAGGCTTTCTCTTTTAGTGACTTCTTCAAAGGGCCGCTACTTTCAGGAGGACCGCTACTTTCGGGGTTCAGTAGGAAGGCAAAAAATTAATGTTACTTTCGGGAGCCGTTATTTTTTTTTTAAGTGGGGGTGGGAGAGAGAGCGTTACTTTCGGAATTCTCCGGTATTATGTTCATTACCCCTCAAACATTTCTCGCAACACGCACGGTTTTCAAAATTGATAATCCCCATTTAATTTTAGCTGAGGAATATTCAGTCACTTGGTGTGTTTAGACCAATTGTGCGCGAGCGAAATATTTGATGGATTATAACAGGGAATAGAAAACAACGAGTGAGCCAATCAGATAGAACCCAGCTGAGTGGCTACTATCTAGTTATTTTTAGACATTGATGTTGATATAAATTTAAGTAAATCATAAATGTATTGTAATTTTCATCTTTAGGAATGTCAGTGTTCAGTCTCACGGTCCAGCAGTGACCCTCAAAATAACCAATGAAAACGGAAGAGTATATTCTGTTGACTTAACCCTTGCTATCAAGCATTGGTCCTGGCCAAAAGATGCAGAGGAGTGGAGGAGAGAACATCAAAATGGTATTTGTTTCATTTGCCATTGAAACTGTATAATTTGTCTTTCGTTAAGTTAACAACCACAAGCAGAAAAAAGGGAGTGTTTGTTTCAAATGTTGTTTAAATTGATTCTTGAAGTTTTACCGGATTTTTTTGTCTGACTGTAAGCATCCAAGCTCATAACGTGGAGTCTGAGTCTTATTATGACTATACTGTTTCAAACTTAATTTAGGTTGGCCTAATCAATCACTCATCCAAGAGATTTGCAGAGATGGTTGTCATCTGGTTGCAAAGCAGCCAAAGGGACAAAGCCTTCCTGAACAGGACAAAGCACTTCTGTGGGGATATTCCTTCTCAGCAGCCGAAAAGAAGCTGTTTCTTAATGGTGGTAACAGTGAAGCAAATTCTTGTCGGAAGCAGGTTTTGCGTATTGTGAAGGCCCTGAGAGAGAAACTAAATCTGGAACCGCTGAATTCTTACCACCTAAAGACAATCTTGCTCTATGAGTGTGAGAAATGCCCTCTTTCGTCCCAGTGGGGCAGTATTCATCTCAGTGAAAGGTTCTTAAGCCTTCTTGAAAGGCTTGAAAATTGTTTGTTATGGTCAAATTGTCCTCATTATTTCATCAGAAATCTTAATTTGTTTGAAGCATTCACTGGCCAACAGTGCTTCGATTTGGCGAGGAAGGTGAGAGAGATTAGATTGCAACCAACAAAAGTGTTTAGCCATCTCATGATAGAGCAATCACTCCAGCAATCCATTCAGCAAGCAATAGAGCAATCTCTGATGCAAACCACGAAACAAGCCTTAATGGAGCAGGTCTTACAGCTAACCCAGCTGGAACAGTTCACATCCCTAGTACTGGAGCGAGCTGTAGGGCAGGGCATAGAGCAAGCTATGAGACACACCCAGTACCAAGTCCAGGAACAAACCCTGGTGCAAGTCTTGGGAGCCCTCAGACAAGTTCTGAGAGCCATGCTGAAAGCTTTTGGAGTAGGCGTGGGGAAAGCTGTGAGGCATGAGCTGCTACAGGAATTCAATCAAGGTCTGGAGCAACTTACCCTAACAGACTATCAGGGGAAAGTTTTGAGGCAAGACTGGGAGCAAGCCTTTGTGCAAGGCCAGGAGCACGTTTTTGCACAAGCAATGGGACAAGCCTTTGTTGAGGGCCTGGGACAAGTCTTGGGACTAATCCTGGGAATAGCACTGGAACAATCCTTGGATCAATTAGCTCAAATTTTTCAATCATTTACTTATATTTTTGTAATGTCTTCATTGAGTGCAATGCAATGAATGCAAGTAACAGACTGATTGCATCACGTGACAATATATCTTACAGATATTCTGGTACTCCAGGCTGAAATACAAGTAAAAATAAAAAGATAATAAATATGACCATCTGATGTAATTCAAACCTATCTCTTTTATTAGGGCAGTCCCAGCGCATCTCTGTCATTCAGATTAGAAGAACTGGAGGTCATGGGGATGATAATGAGATGCACTTTTAATTCAAAGCATACCAATGCATGTACAGCATAAGTTTGATTGCATCATCTTGACTAACTTTTGTGCAGAGTTAAAAGAATGCAAAAAAACATGATACGAGAGGCGATGAAGCTTGTTGTCTATGATTACGTATTAGGCGTGCTAGGCTTAGAGGATGCTTAATAGATGTTTCAAGTACAGTAACAGTAACTTTATTATCATATAATTCAATAACAAATCTTAGAAGCTCGCAACTAGCAAAGCTATTCTGGGCAAGCTACGTTTACTTAAACAGTATTATATAGTTTAGTTAAAAGAGAGAATAAGACAAAAAACTGAAGGGAAGAAATTTGAGTAGATGATTGAAAATTAAACCAAAATATTATACATGACACATGATTATTAAATTAAGTAGGGAAACATGGTTGACATAAGACAGTAGAGCGAGATAACAATAATAAATGAGAACGAAATGGGAAAAGAGGACCTCATACTAATACTAATTAAACAGTGAGAGATACTTAGAACTTTCAATACAGCACATATCAACATTTGTCTCCTCATTTTCGAGAATTTCCAAGAGTACTTTACCGTTACTCAATTCTCGTTTGAATGGTGTGTCTTAACTCACGGAGTTCTATGGGGATACCGTTCCATATTTTTACACCAATTCTATCGAGGGAAAATAACTCAAAGCCGTCGTTTCCTTTCAACGTTTAGGGGAATATAAACGTTAACTTTGTTATTTACAACATTGCTTGTAATTTGAGGGTAGGAGTAGGGTAAGCTTTATTATTGATATTCAGATCCTTCAGCTTTTTCTTAGGAGACAAATACGAAGAAATCATTATTTTATTAGTGCCTTTTTCTTAAAAATAGTACAATTAAAACGTCTTCTGGCTGAAAACGTTAAGTTAAAATAAGCTTTTGGCTGTCAACCTACAGCCTTTCATTGTTTTAATATGCCTTGATAAGAAAGTTGAATAGAGTTAACGGGAAGCTTTTTCAGCTAATAGCATTGTTCAATTCAAATCTGTTAAAACAATGTTACCCTTTTGTAAAACCATTAGCTTAAATAGACAGTTTAACCTTGTGTACAGCAGCAACTTTTACCTATAGTAAGAGCAATAGCGAGTCTATACAATAACTGATTTACTTAAGCATATTTTCATTAGTAATTGTTGACTGCAAGGCACTTAAGTATTAGAAATATTTACGTATCAAAACTGATTCGAATATGATTTGTTTAAAACAGCATGTATCAATAAAAGTCCACTGAAACAAAAAAAAATTCAGCCATAACTGAATTTGCACTTGGTTTACCCATAGATGACTTGTAATGTCGTCAATGTTTAGTAGGGCTTAGTATAAAACGGTATGAAACTGTACCAGTTCTGTAAAGATCGGTCCATAGGTCTAAAGAGGTTTGGAAGACTTCTTCAGGAGATAGATAACTTTAATTTAAATTTAGCCATGTTTTGTAGATGAAAGCTGGCAGTACTGCTTCCATTGTCTCGGTCAGTGTCTCATCACTAAGCTCACTTTATTGCGATACTAAGTTAGAAATGTATTTGACAGCGTATTGTGTCCTTGGGCAAGACACTTCACTCTCACAGGCCTCTCCCCACCCAGGTGTATGAATGGGTACCGGCTGGGGGTAACCCTGCGATGGACTAGCATCCAATCCAGGGGGGAGTAGAAATACTCCTAGTTGTTTCATGCTACAGAAACCGGGATAAGCTCCGCCTTGATGGGCCACTTGGCTCGTATGCAGTCTTTACCTTTTACTTCGGAACCCAATCCACAGAATTTTTTAAAACTTTGCAAAAAGTTGCATCTTATCATGCTTATCTCAATTCGATAAAAAAAAAAATGGGGGTCACCGAGCTCGTTTTTGAGTTATAAGAGCTTAAAGCTAACATTAAGGGTGTTTTTAGCAGGTCATTTTGTCGTTATGGTAACATGTTATATCGAAAGGATGACCACAACTTGTTTATCAATGATTGGTCATTTCTGTGATATCATTATTGTAGCATCACTTGTTAAACAGTGGTAGTATTCATCCTTCAAAGTATAGCTGTTGGAAAAGTGCTGGAAGGTCTGGAAACTGTTGCCAGCCTCCTTAAAAGGATTCAAGTCAGACTTAAACAAAGAAAACCATTGTTTGAATTGTTTTAGTTTTTCACCTTTTTTCAGAGTGCATGAAGGAATGGGTTCTCATTGCCTTTGCGGTTAGTCCCTTGGTTACAAAGGTTAGTTGAGCGCTCACACAACTCAAATAACTGAAATCGTCTATTCGCACTTTGTGTCATATTTATCCGTCTACTCTCAGAAGCTTTACGCATTTACCCAGACTTACGAAACGTTTTAGAGGTATTACACGTAACACAAATATTATAATCGCTTTTAAACTCCGTTCAAACATGTGTTTAAGCCTAGGGCCAAAAAAATATGACAAAAAAGCTCTATAAATAACCGGTAAAAGAGCTCTAATTTCAAAGGGCATGCGCAATTCAATTCAATGAAATTTTCACCATTGATTTCTTGGGGTGAATCACGTTTAGAGCCAAAATTTTAAAAAATCTGTAAGACAGATTTTGAGCTATTTTTTATCTCGCATTTTCTTAGGTTGCGAAAAATCTGTCTTACAGATTTTTATTTTACTCGGCATGAATGTTAAATCAGAGCCACTTTCTTATTCCTGAAATTTTGAGGTAGGATTATACGGGTAGGTCTTGAGAAAAACGTAATTTAACCTACTACTGCCCAGTCTCTTCTTAGGTACTCGGTCGCTCATTTTGGCGATTTGTTGACGTTTAATTGTTCGAGTTTCACATGGAATGGTAAAAGACTTAGTAAACAGTAAATAGAGAAAGGAAAAACATCTTGGAACATTTTTAAAAAGAGTCAGAAGTTACTACAGTTTTGATGGAATATGACAGCCCAAGCCACCTTAAATCATGCTGACTCGCTCCGCATGAGTTCTTTTTTTGTCGCTAGCTTTTCCATGGGCAGAAGAACGAAAAAAAAAAAAAAAA